CACTCAATTTATTTATATCGCAGGTGTTGATACGAAGTCACATTACACTAAGAGATTGAAAGAGATGTAGATCACTAGTATAAATAAATGTAAGCTCCGTTTATGCTTATGTTCCTGTATTGACAATGACATCCCAAAAGTTTTAAAATGAATAAAATACGTTTCTTCGAAAATGTTCTGATAACGTATTTATTGTATTTTTCTGGGAACAAATTCCGCAACATTTTTATGAAAAGAAGTACTCTGATTTTTATAAAGCATAAACAAAATCGGTCTTTTCTGGCCGTGAAAATTGGGGATGTCACATTTAGAGTACATCGTAGTTCAAAAACATCTACAGGTTGTGGCACAGTCGCCAATATTTATCTATATCATCTTTCATCCCTCATCATTCATCTACCCATGTTCTACCCAACATATTCGTAGATATAAAATACATATACAATTTAAATCATTTAAAACATGTATAAATCATTCACACAACATATATATCAGGAACACAAATAAAATTCACACGTAACTTATATTAAATACTTCATATTTATGTGTAAGATGAAAGTAACTATGCACTCACTTGCTAAAGTGACGATTCCAAACTCCAGCAACCCTTCGCTTCTAACAATTCTATTTCCATCGACGAAACCTAGTATCATTACCACTAGATTTTAGTCTAATATTTATCGTGACTATTTATGAGCGATATTGTTTTATAAGTTTTAAACAATACTTTCAACCACTATGTACAGACAGGGGCCAGACATGAAACACCGGAGGGCAGGACCATTTTAGCATTTAAGCCATTCTGAAATCCAACAACCCTATGCGATCATTCAAACCAAATTACTCGTAGCACGAGTAGTTAAAAGATATTATAGTAACACTCAGTATATTATATTTTATTTTATAAGTTCATAATAAGGATATTAAACTTAAACATAATCTATACTTAAAGTAGGGTAAACATATCTCACTTACCGAGAGGTTTGGCTAGGAACCGGTCTCTGCGGGGGCAGAACTTCCGAGCCGAAAAGCTCTTTTTCTTGGAGCCTTATGGCGCTCCGTGGCTTTCCTTTAGCACTTAGAAGTTACTAGGGCTTTAGGAGGGATGAGAGAGAGAGAGAGAGAGAGAGACTTAAGGTGTGAGAAAAATGGGGTGCTTTTGCATCCTATGTGTAGGTTGGAAAATGGCCCTAATCGTCGAGTATGAGCCTCCAACTCGTCGAGTTGAGTGCCAGGTTTTACCATCTAGTGGCAAGGCTTGGCAAGGAAGCAATGGTCCAGATTAAGCCACATCACCCCCTTCGCAGCAGCAACCTTCAGTCTTCTAAATCCGGTAACTTCGCATATGAGCTCCATTTTTTACGTTCTTTATATCCATGCATAGGTGGCGACGTAATATACAACTCTCATTTTGACCCGATCTGTTAATTCTCGACCGATTTGATATTTAACAGTATTAGAAGATTATACTATTAACGTCCGTGTAAAATTCATAACTTCTACATACGAATTCCGTTTTCTACTGTCTTATTATCGTTGCACTCCTACTAATGAGATCATCAATTCTTATTTAGGTTGTGTCGGCTAAAAATCGATCAACCTAAAATTCGAAGTCATGGCTATACACTGTTATGCTAAATTTTAGAAAAATCACAACTTCCTCATACGAAGTTAGATTTGGACATTCTTTTTATGCACACTCTCGATTTAATGTATACTACGAATTTCGTTTAGATCCCTAAGGCTAAAAAGTAATTTATCAAAAATTCACTTTTTATTTTACGCGTTGCCGTGTCGGTTTAGCCGTAAAACTTCGACGAGCCATAACTTCTTCGTTATAATTCGGATTTCGGCGTTCTTTATATGTACGAAACTCTTGCAACATATAATATAACTTGGTTAAAATTATGTTTCCTAATTCATTTCTATCAAAAAATCATTTTTAACAATTATTCTCTCTAAATTGACTAGCCTGAATCTGCGGGTGCTACATTAATGAACTATATATTTATGTGAGTATTCTATTTACTCCGCGGTTGCCTTATTGACATACATTGCTAGGGAATCCCCCGAAACGGTATTGTCTACTTAGTAATTCTCCAAGATAGGTCCTATGAGATCATCATCATAGGATCAGGGAGTAAGAATAACAAGAATGAGAAATCGGGTTATTTGTTTAATGCAAAATATATAAATTAATTATATATTGTGGGTTAAAAATCATATGTACTCACCAAGCTTTCAAGTCTAGCTCACTCAGTTTCTTTGTATCACAGGTAGTTGTACAAATGTACATAAATAGCGATTTTTGAATCCGCTGAGAGATTCAGGAGTTTAGGCCATTAGTGTAATAAGTTGTTGTACGACCTGTAATGACTATGCTTATGTTTATGTTTTTCTTGTATTAGTTATAACATCCCAAGTTTTTAATAATCAATGAAAATCATTTTTTCAGAAATGCTTTTATCTCACATATTTATGACAGGACAAATGTCGTATTTATAAAGAATACCATGTTTTATAATAAGCATACATAAAATGCACTTTTTCGGGTCGTAAAATTGAGGAGGTCACGAAAGACGAAAGGTGCAACCACTCTAACAACAACACCACCAACAAGGTCATCAACGATTGTGATGGAGACCTCGATTAAGGGTTGTTGAACTGTTAGTCCTAATAGAAGAATAGGGAAATTGGGTGTGGCTCCGATCGACGAGAAGATAATATGATAGGAGGTAGAGTGATGGAGGGAAGAGCAGGTCACCGATGGTGTTGGAGGAAGAGATACAGTAGGCGGAGGTTTTGTAGAAGATGAAGCGACTCCTAAACGGGGGGGGGGGGGGGGGTATTTATTTATAAATAAATTTAAGAAAAAACTAAAATAAATTAAAAATAGTATAATAATCTTTAAAAGTCCAACTATGATAGAAATTAAATCTATATATCTTTTATAAGATTGAAAAAAAAAAATCAAGGATGACATTCTTTAAAAATCATAAAGATTAGTTTATAAAGATTATCCATGATTATACTTATTTTATGTGAAATCATTAATATTAATATTTGATACAAACTTTTCTAATTGCAACAGAATTATATGAAAATAGTTTATATTATGTATATTATGTCATTTATATATTTGAATAAAAGTATTTTGATGACATTTTAAGGTCATGTTTGTTATTTCGAAGCGAATATGTTTAAAGTCTGCGAACTACTTCTGCAATCTTGTGTGAACCAAACGGCTACATCATTTAATAAAAAGTTTATTTTTTAATGTTTGCAGACTGCTACAGTAAGTTAAAATAAGGTATGAAGAAGTTTGAAACAGTTGGTCTATTGTTGTGTTATGCAACACATGCACAACAGTTTTTAAGTTAAAAGTCTTCTAAAAAACAAACAGCTGCAAAAGACCAAATGCTCCGCAGCACAACAATAAGTGATCTGAAATGATTTAAAAAAACAAAAATACAAAACAAACCGCACCAAATATTCATACAATTCGAGAATCTAAGGTGCTGTTTGTTTTTCTGAAGCCAAAATGTCTGCAGTCTGCGGACCACATCTGCAAGCCTCTGCAGCAGAAGAGGTGGACCAAACGTTTGCAGTCTGCAATAAGAAGACTGTTTGTTTTTTAACGTCTGCAGGCTGCTGAAATAAACTGAATTTTAAATAAAATTATTTTACAAACTTAAAATGATTTTTCAACACCAAAATTTTAATAATAATAGTCTTATAACATTGAAAATAAAATTCATGCAACTAAATTAGTCATACAATAAAAAAAAATGTTTTACAATAACAATTTCATTTAAAACAATTCAATGTATATTGTGCATCAACTGATCAGCAATTTCATCACGTAACTGAGTCATATATTCACGGTCTGCTGCAGTACCATGTGTTGGAATCTCGTCTTCATCATCATCAATGGCCACATTGTTATTTCGAAACGGGACATTGGGTTCATCGTATCGTGCGAAATACTCATCACTCAATCCTTCTTTCCTTATATAATTATGAAGCGCGAAGCATGCCATGGCAATGTTTCTTTGTGTCACAAACGGGAATGGTGCCATCCTCTTCAATATAGGGAAGCGTGCTTTCAAAACACCAAAAGCACGCTCAATGACATTTCGAAGTTTTGCATGTCCATGGTTAAATTTTTCTTTATTGGTCAATGCACGTCTTTGACGAAAATCTCCAAGCCAATACCTCACATTACGATAAGGGGCCATAAATCCTCGAGTGTGTGCATACGCGGCATCACAAAGATAATATTTGTCTGAAAAAAATGCAAAACACTAATCAATTTTCAAATTAAAATGAAAATATTAAAAAAAAAACAAAAAATTACCTGGTGGTGGAAACGGGAATGATGCTTGTGGATCGGCTACTGCTTCTGATAATATTCTAGAGTCATGCGCTACCCCTTCCCACCCGGTCACAACAAATGTAAAAATCATATTGAAGTCACATATTGCCAATACGTTTTGGTAGCAATCTCCCTTTCCCCTACTTCTATATAAGTCTTGTTTCTTAGCAGGGACAACAGCATGTATCAAAGTGCCATCAAGTGCACCAACTGCTCCTTTGAAAACCCTTCGTAGCCTCCTATTATGTCCTGGAATGTTTGGATTCGGATTAAAAGATGTTGGTACTATAACATCTTGTGCGAAAAGCATCATTTTTTCCAACACTTCATAAAAAAATTTATGAATTGTTTGCTTCGAGTGTTGAAATCTCCGCTTGATAATCACGTAACGTTGATTATGTCCGATCATCATCAAAAACATAGCCATCTTTTCCTCAACTGATACATGTTTGCTGTCCTTTAATGAGTAATTTGCTCTAAAATGAGCACATAGTCGTACAAAAGATTCACGGGACATGCGTAATACTTCAACACATTGTAAACGATTACGGTGTAATAACTCCAATGTGTATTCGTGTCCCGTCATTTCCGAATCATTATCCCGCAATCGTTTCACACCCCTCTTCCAAAAATAACGGATGTATAGGTACATTAGAATTACGAGAAGTAACTTTTGATCGTGATCCATATGAACCTAAAATCAACAAAGTAGAACTTTAAAAAACATTACATAAACCATATTTCAAGTATCAAATAAACATTCCATTTATCATATTTCAAGCCAAAATAACATTACATAAACCATATTTCAAGTATCAAATAAACATTCCATTAATCATATTTCAAGTACCAACAAGGGCAAAAAGACCTAACAAAATAGTTCCAACAAAGGCAAAAACATTTAACAAAGTAGTTCCAACAAGGGCAAAAAGACCTAACAAAATAGTTCCAACAAAGGCAAAAACATTTAACAAAGTAGTTCCAACAAGGGCAAAAAGACTTAACAAATACTTTCAACACTAGAAAATCATCGAACAATCTTCCCATCCTTCAAAACTCCTAAACTGGTACCCGTCATCTCAAGCCACCCTCGTAATATCTCGGGAACATCGGGCAAATGCATCCACATCTCTCTCATGTTCATGGTTCCTCCAAAAATATGATATGCGACAAAGCGTAAAGGATCTGTAGGGCCTAACTGAAGGACCTCTAACTTCTCTAAACACTGAGGAATTGTATACCCTTTAGTCAAACTTTGTAGAGCTTTCTTCATTTCAAATGCTAAATCGTCAGCAGTAACAGAAGTTCCATCAGGTGAAGAAGCAGACGGTGAGGCACTAGGAGCTACAGGAGTTGAGGGTTTAGCCCTTTTGTTGGGGTTACCGGATGGTGTAGCAGTATATGGTGAACCAGTATATGGTGAACCAGCAGAAGGTGAAGCAGCAGAAGGTGAAGCTGCAGAAGGTGAAGCAGCAGAAGGTGGTGGCTCATGATGAGAAGTGTCAACACCATCATCATCCATTGCATCAAAAGGGGTGGCGGTGATCTGAAGTGGTGGAACACGACAGGAGGATGCGCCAGCTACTGATGATGATTGGGTTGAGTAACTCCTAAAATTACCAGTAGCACTATTTCCATCAAAAAGACGTGCACAAAGATCTGGAAAAGGCAATGGAATTGTTCTCAAAGAAGCAGCTTTCGGATGCCCCTAAACCCAAATGTAACAAGAAATAGTATAAGAATATTTGGCAACTTCAAACGTAAATGTTATATATATATATATATATATATATATATATATATATATATATATATATATATTATTGTATATTAATATATATGTACCTTCTTAAAATCATCCCACTCCTCGGCTGTTAAATTAAAAGTGTTTGTTTGAGAATTGTATATATTACCGGTTTTGTTTTTTAAATATACCCATCCAGTGTATTTGGCTTTCAGATTGTCATATGCGTTTTTCATTTGTTTTTGAGTCAACTCAACCCCAAATTTCTCCTTAAGAACTCTTCCAAGCCTTATCCATGAATCTTTCTGTAAACTCAATCCTTTTCTACCAACACTCTCTACTTCTTCAATACAAGTATCCAATAAGCATTTTAAGTGCTCATTGGTCCATTGTTGTTTTTCTCCCATCTCTAATAACCAACTAACAATAAACAGTGAACAAGTAACATCATTATTTCAAGAAAAAAAAATTTATTTTCACGACAAATTTGTAATTTTGTTTGATTTTCAATCACAATAATGTGAAACTTTTTATTCAATTATAAATAACCTCAATTAGAGTGTTTTAATTCAAAGTTTTCTAAAAAACTTTATAAATCAAATAAACTTCACTTTAACGACAAAAAACTTTACTTCTATAAAATAAACAAAACTTATGTCTCTTTTTGATGCTTTCTATCATATACATACAAAATCAACAATCATATACATATACACTATCATATAAATATACACAATCAATAATCATATATATATATATATATATATATATATATATATATATATATATATATATATATATATATATATATACAACTTTGAATTACTGCATATTTAAGCAGAAACACATCACAACAATCTAGTTGAGGCCAACAATCTAGTTGAGGCTTTTTATTGCTAATTGAAGCACAAACACATAATCAAATCTAGGTTCAATTGCTAATTGAAGCACAAACACATCACAACAATCTAGTTGAGGCTTTTTATTGCTAATTGAAGCACAAACACATCACAACAATCTAGGTTCAATTGCTAATTGAAGCACAAACACATAATCAAATCCAATTTCACATTCAAAGATAAATTACTTTCATTACAAATGTTTTTATTTTACACAATTTAGTTGACAACAATCTTTTGAGGCTTTTTATTCTACCTGTTCAATTACTACAACAGATTGTTGTGGAATCTTAATCAATACATCATTTTAAATCTGAATAAGATGAGGCTCAAATAACAGAAACGTGTAGCTCACAGCAGGAAAAAATAAAAACAGAAACGTGTAGCTCACAGCAGGAAAAAAAAAAAAAAAACGAACCTGTGAGATCGAAGTCTCCGGTGTAGCTGTGGGGGCGACGGTCTCCGGCCGGTGGCGAGCAGGGTGGTTAACGGCGGCGAGCAGACGATCGAGCAGGGTGGAGTACGATCGATCGATCGATCGAGGGTTGTTGTTCGCCGGCTGCTGCAATCGATTATGAAGTTCGGAAAATCGGAGGACGCCGGATCGGAGAGGAAGGCGGCGATTGATGGCTTTGATCGGAGAGGAGGGTTGCGACGGTGGTGGTCGCTGCAAGGTGGAGAACGATCGAACGATGGAGGGTTTTTTCTGGGAGGGTTGGACGAGGACGGGAGCGGAAGCAAAAGAAAAAAAGACGCGTTTTTTTTTTTAGGTTAAAGGGCTTGCAGACTTTAGAAGATGCTATCCCATATCTGTGTGGTGAAGACCTCGCGCAGACGTTTTTATGTCTGCACACTTCAGAAAAACAAACAGACTGCAAACCATTATGTCTGCGCGTGGTCTGCGCCTCGCAGACAGAAGAGGTCACGCAGACCTGCAGAGAAAAAACAAACACCCTCTAACTGTTTTGTCTTATTAATAAAATTATCCCCTTAGAATTATTTGCATTTACAACATGTAAATATACGAAAACAATTCATTTTAATTCTTCTTAAAATCTGATTGCGTCACAAAATCTTCACACATAAAACCACCTACTCATTTCCCAAGAAAAATATCGTCGGCTTTTGGGGTTCAATCATCTCCACCGTTCCTTCCAACATCTTCGCCACCTTCCCCATCGACGGCCTCATCTCCGGCCGATCCTGCAAACACCACATCGCCGTCTTCACCATCCGTGTAATCATCTCCTCATGAATCCGACTATCATATGACCTCTTAATCTGATTATCCAAAATATCCTCAATATTCATCTCTTTATACACCTTATCAAACGCCCATCGAGGAAAATACCAATCTTCACTATCCATTTTCGAACCTTGAATGTCGAAATTACGAACCCCTGTCACCATCTCCAACAAAACCATTCCGAAACTGTAAACATCGGCCTTCGGTGTAATGTGGTCGCTCTTCACCCACTCCGGCGCCATGTACCCTCGAGTTCCCCTCATCCTTGAGTAGCTAACCATGTCTTCCTTCTTCCTCAGTTTTGATAATCCGAAATCTGAGATTTTTGGGCAGAAATCAGCTCCGAGGAGAATGTTCTCCGGTTTGATGTCGCAGTGGAGAACCCATTCCAGGCATTCTTCGTGCAAATACGCAATCGCACGAGCTACTCCGAGGGCGATTCGGTATCTAATCCCCCAATCGAGTATGGGTTTTCGATCTAACAGCTTGCTATCTTCCAGATCTTCTTCGCCGTTTGTGTAGTCGACTTTACCGGAGTGGAACAGGAACTTGTCTAGAGATCCGTTTGGGACATACTCGTAAACCAGTATTCTCTGACCTTTCTCAGCGCAAAATCCCCACAATCGGACTAAATTCAGATGATGCATTCTCGCGATAATGGTGACCTCAGCCCAGAACTCGTTATCCCCTCCGGCGACGTTTTTCAGGCATTTCACAGCAACAATCCGGTGATCAGTCAACACGCCTTTGTAAACATCACCAAACCCTCCTCTTCCGACGACGTTTGTGGTGGAGAAATCATTTGTAGCGGTTTTTAGCTCGGCGTAACTGAACCGTTTTGGGCCACCGGCGGGGAGGAATTCGAGCCCGAATGTTCGAGCCATGTCTCGGTATTTCACGTATTTTTTGAGAAAAGCCCAGAAGAATGCGACGCCGCTGATTAACTCCGCCGCGAAAAGAGTCGATATGATTGCTATGTTTCGAGTGGTGGACTTTGATTCTTCCGGTGGCAATGGAAGGCTAACTCGAACAGGGCATGTTGTCTCCAGGATGCTTGTTAAGCCTGTGAAATTTGTCTGATCGGATTCCAACGAATCAACACGAAGAAAGAAAGCAGCTTCATTCGCCGGAGACCATATCCCGTAGAATAACTGCTTCACAAAAACACAATAACCTTGCCCATCGAATTTGTACCCGAACCCGACACAATCCGGGTTATTCAAGCAACCGGCTTTACACGATGTAAAGTTCAGAGCCACCATAGACCACTGGTTTCCTTGTCCCGATGCCCCACTAAAATTCACATAATCAAGCTGCAAAAACTTGGATTCTCTCAAATTTGAAATTTTTCTCGAACATTGTTCATCACCGGTGCCGGAGTTTCGCCGGTATCCCGGTGGGCAATCGCAGACTGTAGTATCGTAATTGTCACCGTACATACATATAGAATTTGGTCCGCAGGTTCCCTTGATTCTACATAACTCCGGGATCGCTTGCCATACAACAATCCATTGACTGATGTTCTGATTGAAGCTGTAAATCCTGAGATTTCCATTGTCGTCGAGCGTTAATCTTCTCTGCACCTTGTCGCCGTAGTCTGAGGTGATTAACGAAGCGCCGTTTTCTTGCTGAACCTTCCCGGTATCATCGAAGCTTAGAAACGCGTTGTCGTTTGAATAATACGACGATTCTGCATCGTAACTTCCGTTGAATAACAATTGTTTTCCGTTAAATCTGAAAGCTCCGCCTCTCACAGTCAAAGTCGTTCCGTTGATATCTTGTCCCGGAACGATCGTATCTGTCGGGTGAAGAAAACTTCTCCAGTTCCCAAATCGCAACTCTCCGCCGTCGGTGAGCTGGAGCAAGGGGGTGGAGTTGCTGGATAATGTCGGAGCTCCAGGGAATTGTATTTCCCCAAGACGGAGTTCACCGGAGGCGGTGATGTTGAGGGAGGATGATCCGTTTACCGGGGAATCATCGTTGACCGACCAGATTACTTGTCGTATGGAGATGCCCACGTAGTAAACGGAGAAGATGAATCGGTCGGTGGAGTTCGTTGGGAGGAATCCGGCGGCGAAGACTGAATTATTCGAAACTAGAGTTCTGTTTTCCGACGCCACCCATGGGAAATCAGAGGTTTGGTTTCGTAGTTGGGCGTAGGAAGTTTGAGAAGCCAAGAAAAGGAAGAGGGGGAGGAGGAAGAGGAGTGGATCAGGGGTAGACATGATGGTGGCGCCGGCGGGAATGCGGTGGTGGTTTGGACGTTGAAGGTTGGTCTTGGTGGTTTGTTGGGTGGTATATACTTAAAGGCGGCCGTGATCGTTGGGAGAGTTGACGAAGACCATTGACTTGCGACAGTTTTTCCTACACGTTAAAAGTCGTACACTCGTCTCTATTGGATGCTATAAGGTCCCAGTATGCATGTCGATACTTTACTTCCTTACCCCTTTCTGAATCTTTGAGACGATATTACCCCTTGACTTTTGGTCAAAATGTATGAATTTAACTATGTTTTGTCGTGATCCCAAAAAAAAAAAAAAAAAAACTATACGTAAAACGGTAAAAAATGTTGTTTTCAGTAGTGTTTTGTAAAAAAGGTTCAAAATGGGTTTCATTCGACAACTTTGGGAAAATAAGGAGTACGATTTAAAAGATGGTGATAAATAGTATCACTCATAAACTGATTTAATCACAAATAATCTTGAAAATAGCCGACAATTATATTAGTAGAGAAAATGTTTTTTTAGAGAAGATTTTGAGATCTTAAAGATTAGCAAAAACCCTAATGGAAAATCTTCTCCATCCTCTTGATCAAAATAATTTAAACCTCGCTAAATAACTTAGATTTATAAGCTATAGCTAAGCCACTTTAGTTTTGTCATGGTTTTTGCCAATTGCCATGCTAAAAAAATGATATCAATTAGCATCTTCTCGATTGATCTTGTAGGGATCTTTATTATTTATTATTATACAAATGGAGATTTGATTGACCTTGCAGGGATCTTTATTATTTTTTATTATACAAATCGAGATTTTAAACCATAATAACGTCTAAAACATACTTTTAATTTATTTAATTTGATTCGTTGGACATACCAAATATTGCGTTGTTACAAGTGTTTGGGCCTTTTATAAACTAAAAAAAATAGTTGCCAAATCGAAAATATTATAATTACAAAAGTTATTTTCACCAAAACTAGAAACTTTTATCCAATTTATCATTAAATAATCAAAAAACAAACTGGCCTTCAAACCGGATCCATTCTTAGTCGGTAGACTCCTAGTCCAATCCAAAACAGACTAGTCTTGACTCAACAAGCTATGGATACATGGCCCATTTCCAAGCCTACACCTAATGACCCAATAGCGCCAAATAGTGTAGGACCTACCCAACCATGATCTACACAAAACCAGCCCAATTCTGTAGGTAACATTCATGTTTTGTAAATTGACTCGATTTTTATGAAATTTGTTGCATATTAGATTGCACACTTTTCTACATTTTAGCATAAGATATATTGTTTCTTTTGTAGATTATCGAGCTTGAATTCTTAGTTCTTTCAAACCCCACGTCCATCACTTTGATATTGGTAGGGGTTCGAAAGTCATGAGTTGTAGACACAAGTTTCATTCACTAGCAAAACTAATTGAGAATATAATTATAGCAAATTAACTCATAAATATTCTCTATAAATTTCTAAGCTTGATTAACATATTTCAACTTAAAACAATTAGTATGTATTCAAAAGGAAAAGGGAAGCAACCAAATGACAACCATGTATATATATATATATATATATATATATATATATATATATATATATATATATATATATATATATATATATATATATATATATATATATATATATATATATATATATATATATATATATATATATAGGTTCAGGTTCATTTGAAACCATTCTAATTTTATGAGACCGTGAGACCAAATCTAAAAATAATTTTAAAATGCAAAATAAATGGAAAAATCCAAAAATTCTTTTTTTAAATATTATTTTCGGAACTTGAATTAACTAAAAAAAAATAAAAAATATATATATAAAAAAAAATTTTAAAAAATATAAAAAATTACGTTTTTTTTTTTTGAAAAATACGTGAAATATTCTAAATAGAATATTACACTGACATATTCTAAAAAATAATTTTAAAATGCAAAATAAATGGAAAAATCTAAAAATTCTTTTTTTAAATATTATTTTCGGAACATGAATTAACTAAAAAAATTTTTAAAAATAAAAAAATTCTATTTTTTTTAAAATACGTGAAATATTCTAAATATAATATTACACTGTACATATTCTAAAAATAATTTTAAAATGCAAAATAAATGGAAAAATTAAAAAATTCTTTTTTAAAATATTATTTTTGGAACATGAATTAACTAAAAAAAATAAAAAAAAAAATAAAAAAATGCGTCTCACGTTCTCACAAAATATAGGTGGTCTCAAATGAACCTAACTTTATATATATATATATATATATATATATATATATATATATATATATATATATATATATATATATATATATATATATATATATATATATCATCTTCCACTAGAACTATAACTTGAAAACACTAATAGTGACCACTAACTTAGATTCTATCTTATGACTTAATCTTGAAATACTCAAATCCATATACAAATCATAGTAGGATAATAAGTCATAGTAAACCAAAAATGTAGATAGATTCATTGGCGATCTAATTATTAGGTCTCAGAAGCTTCATTTAAGCGTTATAACAGTACACTTAACTAAATTAATGGATTCACTTCAATGACTTGAACATATAATATTAGGATCTAATTCTAAAAAATAATAGGAAACTAATTCCAAGATAAATTTGGATTCCATGGGATCAAGGAGCGATTCAATTCATAAACCAAAATTTGGTATAGTGATGGATTACTCCAATATATAACAATTTAACACTAATAGCAAATCCTAAACACATAGAATCATCAAGTTGAAACATCAATTTGAAATCAATGAAGAAAATCAGGGTTCACCATATATTGAAGTTACAATTCTACAACAAAATATAAAAATGGAGAAGAAAGTTATCTTAAGATCTTTACTACAAGTATTTATTGCTAGAACTTGATTTAGATCAATAAATGCTATATAAATTTGAGATCACCATAACGTTTCATGCCCACCCCTCACATTTTTAAATGTCATCATTCTAAAGAGAGAAGGAATAAAGTTTGGGGCTTAAGAGATATAAACTATAAATATTTGATAAGAGTGGTCCCTCATTTCTCTATTTTTGCAATTTTAACCTAAGTTGGGATCTTTACTAACAAACTAGGTCTCTTAGTTTCTAGTATGCCTCAAAATCTAATATTTTTATAAGTTAAGTCCAAATCTTAGATAAAGGGTTAAGTCAAATTACATATCTAAAAATCCAAGTCTTAAACTATAATTTCTTATCTTGAAATGTTTTCTTTAATTGTTTAAACTTTTATTCTACTCTTTCAAATAAACATTTTATCTAATTACAAATATTTAATTCAAATTAAAATGTAATATATTTTCTAAAATTAGAGAAAAGTTAAGGGTGTTATAGTAGTTAGACAAACTAAATAAGTATGTAAATTGCATAGCCAAGATTAAGACATATAAGCATGAGGTACATATAAGAGCCTATCATGTCTATAAACTATAAGTTCATTAGGAGGATTACTTTTAAAAGCACAAAATGCATATTTTTGTTAAGAGGGGTGAAACACATTTTAGTATCCATAAGACATGATTAGGAAAATAGACTAGAGATGTGTTTTGTTTAGTAGAGATAGATTCTGGAGGCGTCTGATGAATTTCAAGTCTAAGGAAATAAGGAAGTTTCCAATGATCTTAATTGAAATATGATTTAAGAAACCATTTTAGACTTGTGATAATCTTATTTACTTTTGATAATACGATCATATCATTAACATCCAATAATAAAAGACAAATGCAAATATCCATGATACAAGTGAACACTATTGAGCAATATGGGATAGATAAGAACCCTATAATGATAATATTGGTATTAACGTTTTTGAAACAATTATATAGTGCATGTTTAACAACACACACACACACACACACATATATATATATATAATGAAGAAAACAACCTTAGAGGTGATCGACACTACTTAGGAGACACATGATATAAACTTCCTCAGGAAGATCACCATTAAAGAAAACATTTTGATGTATATTTAACATAACGACCAACAATGAGCCACAATGATCATTAGGATGCTTCGAAATGAGATAATAGGGGGAAAAGTTGTAAGAACTTGTAATTTAGAAAGATTTCATTATTAGTCAACTATTAACCAAAAGGGAAAAATGATCCATTATGAGAAAAAGATGAGAAAATGAAGTTGTGACTTCACAAAAATGGCCAAGATACTTTTAAATCACTTAGAAGAGTTTAGATGAGTAAGTTCAATAGAAAGAATGCATGAGAAGATGCATTTTGACCAAAAGGGTAAAATGGGAAATTTTATGTTTTCTGGCCAACTTTGTGACTTAAGAGATTAAGAACTAAACTAAGTCAGTGAGATATGACTTAACAGAGTTGTAGAGTATGTTTCCACCTACTTACTGATGTAAAAATCATAGAAAAAGTGTTAGAAATGTAGAAGTTGTAAAGATTAGAAGTTAGGAAAAAGGTTGTCCCCAAAGCTGGAATAGAATCAACAATCAACTTTGTTGATCTGCTAGTGTCATGATGTGGAAAGATGATCTCCACGACGTGGTGACATAAAGTATACTGGCATTGACCACTGGTTAATTGGTCATCGTGACGTAGTGAATACCTCACTACGACATGGTTATGCATGTTATAACCTATTAAGAGCTCATTCGATCCATTTAGATGGAGTGATCAATTTGGAGCTCAAAGGGGCTATTTTTCTGCCTAAATGACACTAAGAGAGCGAGAGATGGTGGGTTGTTAGGATTTTCATCCTCTCCACATCAAGGTATGATTTCTCCATGTTGATGAAATGTTTGATTAGAGTATATTAGTTAAATTCATCAGCTTATAGCTTGATTATGATGTTAATGATAGTGTTTAGATGCTTTAATCAAGCTTAGAAAGTGATTTCCATGGTGAAATATATGTATATGAAGTTAGGGTTTGAAACATTAACCGGTGATTATGTGTAATTGATGCATTATGACACACCCCCAAACCGAA